GCGATATATATGCTCCTTCGAGGGTTTCTTTAGGGTTCTTTACCTCGTCTCTTTTTTTGAACCGTCAGGATATTAAATGTAAATGTTCGTGTATTACTCATTTTTCAATATTTAAATATAATTACATGTTTTAGATATTTTATTTCATTATTTCCTTTAACACGTACTACACCTCTAAAATTTTTTTTTAAAAATAGGAGGGTGGCCGAAACCGACTGGTACACTACCGGAACCGGTACCGTCCGGTCCGGTGATGATAACAGTGCTTAGGGGTGGTGGTACCGGAACCGGCGGTTCTGAAATTGGAACTGTCCCGAAACCGTACCGTGTCCACCCTAATGGTGATAAATTATATAATGCATATACCGGTACACCCACATCTTTTTATTCAATTCGAGGTGTATCTCAAAGATTATAGTCCTTAGTGGTATGTATTGACAAAAAATAAAAATATTGGTATAATCGTTAAATCCTGCACTGAAAAAAATAAAATATAAATATTTTAAGTACATTTTGGAGTATAAATAAATTTATTCTCATTTATTTTGACTTTGCTACCACTTCTCTAATAATGTAATCATTCACCTCAATGAGAGTAAAACTTGTACTAATATGTAAACAATTGCGTATACCTTTCAGATCAAATTAGGCGTAGATAATTATCATCTTTGTTGAATGGATGCATCCATAGTAGCACCGATGTGGTGGCACACTAGTATGGTGCAAATTTTTTAATAAAAATCACCCTAAATAAAACTAAAAACATAAAGAAAAATATCAAAATATGACGTTCATATTTTTTCCACGAAATAGAACTTCACACCTCTAGTAATGTGGTTGTAATGTGGCACGGTACATGTACACATTACTATACTTTTTGGTAATGTAAATAACTATGATTCGTAATGTAAATACATTTTAATTCATATTTCTGAAATAAAAAGATAAAATTCTTATTTTGAAATATTTTTAATTTTTTAGTCTTATTTTGATCTTTCTCCCCTTCTTTTTTGAAGGCGGGTGAGTGGGGGTGGCTAATCGAATTCCCACGTGTTTCTTTAATTGCTCCGTAAACGATAAACCTCACCGGCATGCAATTGGAGTGGAGTTCTGACTAATCTCCCTGCCCCATCGTCATCACCTAATCTCAAAACCCCATTTCTCAACCCAAATCTAATACCAGAACAATGGCTGCTTTGTTAGTACTTAATTACAATCTCACACATAATTTACTATAATCCATTTTACTTCTCCGTTTTTATTATTGTTCTTGTTTAATTAGTTCTCACAATCTCTTGAAAGATTTATTAGCTTTGATTCGCTATGAATTTCGCCGGTTTGGATTTCGATGCTCTTTGTTAGTTATTGTGTTTCAATTCATTCATTCGTTGCAGTAATTTTTTGCTCAGGCTGGTTCCAGAGAATCTACCTCCGTCTCTGGATTCCACATCCGAACCGCCTCACCTCTTCGATGGAACCACCAGGTATATAGGATTGATCAATATCTGTATTGCTGTAATTTCGTTGTTTTGTTTTTCAATTTTGAAAAATCATTATATGAAATCGAATTAAAATGTTTTGTTGCAGGTTATACACCAATTACCAGTGCCCTTATGCTCAGCGAGTTTGGATCACTAGAAATTTCAAGGTTTGTCTGTTTTAAAATGTCAATCTATCTTGAATTGGATTAGCCATAGCCATGCCCTTAATCAATCCTCCTCCTCTGCGAGGTCACGAACACGATACAATATAGTGATTGATATAGCCTTATTCTACTACGTAGACTGAGTGTTGGAATAGCCTTTTTCTACCGTATATATGGACTATGAAGTCATTCCAACTTTGACACCATGCGTTTCAGAGACGCACACAAACGATCATTGGGTGGTGGATCACACAGACAGTTATTGTTTGTGAAACACATGGTGCCAAAGGTTGGTGTGACCAGACTTATGCTTTTTCCCTTTGGTGTTTTTTACAGTATTTCTATTTTGGCGAATAACTGCAGGGTTTGCAAAAGGAGATAAAGTTGGTACCAATTGATCTTCAAAATAGGCCTGCTTGGTACAAGGAAAAAGTGTACCCTGAGAACAAGGTACACTGTTCGTTGTTTAATGATACTAGCTCCTCAGAATGTTTTAGAAACTTTGTAGGTGAACTGGTCAATTTCACAATTTTTTAGTGCCTTCTATTTACTTTAATTTACATTGTTTCACTTCAACTTGTTAAACATAGCATAAACTTCATTCACTATTGGCTGTGAGTTTCTATGCAACTAATCCCTTGTTGTAACTTTGATTAGGTGCCTTCTTTAGAGCACAAAAACAAAGTAATTGGAGAGAGTTTGGACTTGATTAAGTACGTCGACAGCAATTTCGAAGGCCCGTCTCTTTTACCCGACGTAATATTTCAAACTTTTCTGGATGGATACACTTTAATTTCTAAGGCGTGGACATATAAGATTAGAGTAGTTGGGTAGGCATGTGGACTTCGTTTTGAAGTTTATGTTGGGGTGAGTTTATGCCCTGGTTTGTAGCGGTCGTTTGCATAGTTTTTGTGCTTAGTGCCTAGTTTCTAGCTTCTTTTTTTTAGTTATTGTGCTGACATTGTTCGTGATGTTGTGTTTCTTTGTCCCCACTTCTTTTTTTGAGTCAGGGGTTTCATATACTTTCATCAGATCATATTTTTTATGGGATTTTACTAGGCTTGATGTCGTTGTACTGTAGGATTTTATCTAATGCTCATACACCCATTACACTGCATGCATGCCCCAAGAGTTGGGGAGGCAGAGGCGGCAGTCTTCTCAGACTTTGAATATTTAAAATGATGTGTATAAGTTAATTGCTTATAGGATCCTGAGAAGCAGAAGTTCGCAGAAGAATTGATAGCCTACAGCGACACATTCAATAAGACAGTGTTTGGTTCATTCAAGGGAAATCCAGAGAAAGATGCAGGTACTAATTAATCTTTTTTTTAAATGGACATTTCAATGGCTCTTTGATGCTTATTTAAGTAACCAACTGTTATTTGTTGCAATATTACCATCTCAGCTGGCGCCTTTGACCATATAGAAAAAGCACTTGGCAAATATGATGGTCCTTTCTTCCTTGGAGAGTTCAGTCAGGTATATACATAACGTGAAATAAAATCGGAGCCTAGTTGTGTTGATATAGTAATCTCCTAGTACAACAAAATTGATACTTCCACTGTCCCCTTTTTTGCTCTGAATTTTAACCTATTTTAAACAGTGAAATTTGTTTCAATTCTCTCTGATTCCTTGTTTGCACTTTGCTCTCAAAGAGTGGAAAATTACTGTACTTATTAGCATTTATGGATTGTATTGGCTCATCAGGTTGACATTGTATATGCTCCATTCATTGAAAGGGCGAGACCCTTCATACTAGAAGTATTCAAGTATGACATTACAACGGGCAGGCCTAAAATAGCAGCATGGATTGAGGTATATTTCAATTCATTACATGATATTATTATTTTTGTTATGCATATACATTTGGCCTAACATACTGCCAAGTAGGATAAAGACTATGTACACACACCTTCTCCAGATTCTATTTTTGTGAAATTTATTGGGTTTGTTGTTATGAGTGTATATACTAGGCTTGTTTGGTTTGGTTATTTTTATGAGCATGGGTGGTTCTTCATCAACTGATTTGTACTCCATATTTTTCATTCCCCCCCCCTCCTCCCTACAACGTTACAAGCTTCCATTTCTCGTGGAAATTGAAGCAAAACCACATCTTTTCTTGGTTATTTTTATGGGCATTGATGGTTCTTCCTCGACTAATTTGTATTTTTCATTCTACTTCTACCCCTTTGACATTACAAGCTACCATTTCTTTCTCTTGGGGAATTGAAGCAAAACCACAAGTATTTTTTGTCACTACACACGAATTACATCCCACATTTTCTTCTGCAGGAGCTGGAGAAGATTGATGCTTACAGAGTTACCAAATGTGATATCCCAAAGACCATTGAGTTTTACAAGGCTCGCTTTCTGGTACTTACCCTATTGGTTAATCATATCCCAATATCTTTTACTGCTGAGAAAGAATTTGTATTAGTTGGCTAATCCTTCATCCTCCTTCAATTGCATGCAGGCCTAAAACTTAAGAATGAATGCTTTGATCTCTATGGTAGTGTGTACTCTCAACAAGTGATGATGTTTCCCGCTTGCTGTCTATAAATAAAGATTAAATAAACTATATACTCCGCGCCTGTGTGTGTATCGAACTTGAGGGGGATATTTGCTCAGATTGTTGATGAATTTGGTGCTTATCATGTGAAAACTAGTTTGTGGTTTGTATTTATAAATTACTCAAATAAGATTTCTGTTTTTTTTAAAAAAAAAGAGCTCAATGCTAGGGGTACACATTTGGTGTACCCCAAATGTACACCACCCCCTTCTCTACCATTCATTTTTATTTTATTTTTACTTAATTTTTTTTTTTTTTGAATTTCTTGCTTTTTTTGTGGACAATGAGGGGGTTGGGGACAAATGGGGTACACCAAATGTGTACCCCTAGCATTTTTCCTGTTTTTTTTATGAAAAATGCTAGGGGTACACCTAAGGTGTACCCCATTTGTCCCCCACCCCCTCCATTACCACATAAATGGGCAAGAATTTTAAAAAAAATTAAATAAATAAAAAGTAGATAAAAATGGATGGTGGAGAAGGGGATGGGAGACAAATGGGGCACACTTTTGGTGTACTCCTAGCATAGCTCTTTTTTATCCAACAACTTTATATCCCAAAATAGGGTAGAAATTGGACCGTCTTCTAATGGTAAAATAACCAAACACAATCATTTCTAAATCATTTCAGGATCCGTTTTGACAAAAGTTTCTGCACTTAATTTTAACATTAGTTTTTAATGCAAGATTTTGTTGACATTGATATTCAGTGTCACAGATGACATTTGCACCCCCACCTCACGACCTCGTAGTTTTTAAGGAATGGAGAAAAAAAAGAAGAAATTAAAATTAACCAATACATTTGATTTTACGAATTTGGGTTTTTTTTTTTTAAATGTATACACTGACATAAATTTGGCCTGCAATCGAGAAGTATTCAAATGAAGAACCCCAAGTGGTTGAGGAAGAAGAAAATTAAAATTACAGTGATGTGATGAAGTGAAGAATCAAGTTCACCATTTGAGCATCAAACCCAGGGCCTTCCATCTGGAAATGGCTGACCCCTTCGATTAGATGCGTTTCGTTCTTTTCGCCCCTCATCTTCTTCACCTTCTTCTCCAACTGCCCCACGCTGGTGAACCCGTCTCGGGTCCCCATCACGAACAGCTTCGGCTTTAGCGATTTCGTGATCGCCTTCTGGTGCCCTCCCAACAGAATCGACGCCGTGAATCCGAAGGGGTACCCTATGCTGACGTATCCCGCCACCTCCTCCGCCGCGTCGATCGCAGATCCGGCGATCGCGGCCCCCGCGGAGGACCCGACGAGCACGATGCGCCTCGCGGAGAGGTTCTTCGCCGCCCAATTGCAGACGGAGACGACGTCGTTGACCTCCGCGGATCCGGTGAGGGAGGCGCGGCCGGTGGATCTGCCGGCTCCGCGCGTGTCGAAGGTCACGGCTGTTAGTCCTCGGCTCGCCAGGCCGCGGGCCATCCCTTTCATCAGACCCTGGCAACCGCCTAGCACTGAGTAAGGATGCACCATCACCGCCACTGTCTCCGCCGCATTGCCGGCGCTCTTCTGGTCGTGCTCGGCGGCGGATGGTCGGAATATCCGGGCATCGAGCGTGACTCCGTCTGTGCTCTGGATTGTACAGAACTCCGTGGTGGTTGTTTCGGACATTTTATTGGACAGTGCGGGCAACGATGGTCAACTGCGGCACATTATCTAGTGAATTAATAGCACCAAAAATTGGATAATACGTTGTACTTTGAAGGCATGTACTAAAATTTTGGCCGTGTTTGGAAAAGAGCATTTGAGATAGCTTTTGGCATTTTTGGCTGACTTTGGTTTTTTGACCAAGCGAACAGCCAAAATCATTGTTTGGCTAATGGCTTTTTCACTTGGCATTTTGATCCGAAAAGCCAAAATCTGAAATGCCAATGTGAGTAGTATTTGGACTTGGCGGTTAGGAAAAATAATTTTTTTAAAATCATTTTTGTTGAAAGATATTTTATAATATATGTGAAAAATAAAAATAAAAGTTAAAAAAATTAAATACGAAAAAATAAAATGAAATTAAACAATTTTATATTTATAATTCATTAAAAAATTTATATTTATAATTTATTATGAATTAAATGAAATTAAAATGTAATACTCCATATAGTAAGGATTTAATTTTTATACATGTAAAAAAATGAAAAATAAATATCATGTGTCTATATATATATATATACACACACACACACACACACACACACACACACACATATATATATACATATATATATATATATATATGTATATATATATGTATATATATATGTATGTATATATATATATATATATGTATATGTATATGTATATGTATATGTATATATGTAGATTTTGGTTCCTGTGAGAATGAGATCTTAGGAAAGAAATGAGAATGAATACCGTACGTCCGATCTGTACCTGCCTGAACTATCGCAGGAGGGCTTTTTAGTATTTTCCTCACAAGTTATTAACTATACGCAGTTCCCATTTGATAATAGCAGGCCCGATGAATTTTCTTTCTACATTTCTCTCCCACGTTCAGAAGTAAACTCCGGATTTCTCTCCCACCGAATCAACCACGTTCTCTCTTTCCTTGTTGAAATGGAGAGATCTTCGATCTTCATCCCTACGATATCTACCAGAATCCTCACTGCACTTTTCGTTTCCATTGGTCCGATTGTTTCTCAGTTTCTATTCACCTTTCATACATCCAATTTTTTTCCATGGATTCGGGTATTTTTTCAATTATTCACAGTTAAGTTGTTTTCATCATTTTCAATTTCGTTTTATCCAGTGCTAGGGATCCCATCCATTTGAAAATGCAGTTTTTCAATTTGCTGTGTTTATGTTTTTTTTCTACACCACTCACAGATGATGGTTCATCAATGCAAACAGACCAACCATTTCCCAAACAGGGATTTGCTCCACTATGTCCAGACGAGTCCAAACCTAGGGTCGGTATGCTTTTTCCAAATATAGAAGATGGAATTGCGTTCTACAATAATTATGCAGCGTTGGTTGGTTTTGACACACGGAAAAGCACTTCAACGAAGTCACGGGATGGTGTTATTGTTTGGCAGTATGTTGTTTGCAACCGGGAGGGTCGAAAAAATGTTTCTTCCATGCCCAGGCCACTAGCACAAGACCGTGAAGATTCAAACCCTATTCCCAAAAAAAAGAGGAGATGCATCTCAAACCGCATTGGATGCAAGGCACGGGTGACATTGAGACTATCTGGCAATGTTGGATATTCCATTGTATTTTTCGGAGAACACCACAATCACCCTATGGTGTCCGCTCCCTGTAGGCCATTTTTGAAATTGAATAGGAATCTTGACACTGGACACAAGAAATTTATGTTGAATTGTGCAAAGGCTAATATTGGTACAATGAAGTCTTACCGCCTGTTTAAAGAATCTGTAGGTGGGTATGACAACGTTGGAGCTACCGCAGTGGATTTCAAGAACTTTAAGCGAGATCTTAAAGCTTACATAGCTGGTGGTGATGCACAAATAGTCATTGACAAGCTTTTCAGGAAGCACGAAACATGTTCTGCATTTTTCTTTGAGTATGATGTCGACGAAAGTGACCAACTTACAAGGCTATTCTGGTGTGACCCCGTTGCTAGGAAGAATTATTCGTTGTTCGGGGATGTTGTCTCATTCGATGCAACTTACGAGACAAACAGGTATCCTGGTCATGGTTGCACAGTAGCAAGACCTTTATGTTCTTTCAATGTTTACACCATTGCTCAATTGTCTTACACTTTCATGTTTAAATCAGATGTCCTCCATTTATGCAGATACAATATGATTTTCGCTCCATTCACGGGCGTAGACAATCACTGTAAGTGCGTTACTTTTGGGGCTGGTTTGCTAACTAGGGAGGATGACGAGTCATATGCATGGCTATTTCGTTGTTTCTTAAATGCTATGGGAAATGCCCCGAAGTGCATCATCACTGACCAAGATCCTTCATTGCGAGGTGCAACCCAAAAGGCATTTCCCCAAACTTCACACCGGTATTGTATGTGGCATATAATGAAAAAAGTTGGTGGTAAAGTGGATGACGAATTGGCTAAAGATTCAGAGTTTCTGACAAAATTGAATGCAATTGTTTGGAGTCATTATCTTGAGCCTATAGATTTTGAAAAGAAATGGCATGATCTGATGGCTGCGTATAATTTAGACAATCATAAATGGTTTCAAAAACTATTTGAAATACGTTTCTCTTGGATCCCCGCGTACTACAGAGATCTGTTCATGGGTGGCTTATTACGCACCACATCACGGTCAGAAAGTGAAAACAGCTTCTTTGACGATTTCACAGGACAGAATTTTAGTCTTGTAGAACTTCTTATGCAGTTTGAAAGTGCTATGGACTCTCAACGGCATAAAAATGCTGACTTGAATGCTGATGATGAAGCTTGTTACCCTGAATTCAAGACTCCGTTGGACATTGAGCACCACGCAGCATCTGTTTACACAATAACAATTTTCTACGAGGTACAAATGGAGATATCCGCAGCTTGCTTTTCTTGCCGTGTACTTCATGTCGATGAACTAGATGGCCAACAGGTGCAATATTTAATTAAGGAAAAAGGGGCATGAGTTTCAAAGTTCAATTCTCCCGCATTGATGCCTCCGCATGCTGCACCTGTAAACATTACCACCAACGGGGTCTACTGTGCAGACATATTTTTCTAGTTTTCAAAGATGAGAACATCCGCCAGATCCCCGACATGTACATTACGAGCAGGTGGTGTAAAACAAGATTTATTAAGCCCATGTACGATGTGCCCGATGCAGATTTTGAAGCTCTATCCGCAGTCGAAGAAAAGAAAATTGCATTAAACCGCTTGTGGTCAGATCTTTACTATTGTGTTTCTGCCGTTGAGCAAAAGCCAGATTTGTTGGGTGGATTTTCAAAGATTATTCGTCAACAGAAGGACATCCTCGAAGCCGCGCTACGGTCGGGTGTTGTAAATACTCAGAACAGCATCTTTGAATGTTATTACGGAGTACCTGCCCCGGCCAATATAACAGTTCTACCACCGCAACCTGTACACAACAAGGGAAGTGGCAAGAGAATCAAAAGTGCAAAAGAGTTGAGCATTGAACAATCAAAGAAGAATAAACGAATGTGCAGAAAATGTCAGCAACTTGGGTATCATGACAGTAGGAATTGCCCTAAAAACATTTCAGGGTGATTGCATTAGACTTTATTTGTAATGTTCTTAATTTTATTTCCTTTATTCAAACTTTCATTATGCTCTCAATACATCGTGTGGGTTGAATTAACAGCTTTGCAATTGCTAACCCAACGTGGTGCTTTTACTTTTGTATTTTTCTATCCCTTAATGCTTTAAGTCATCTATTCCAATCCACAATTCACAACATCTTTTTATGATTCCCGTTTATGCAGAGCATAACACTTATTAAAAACGTCGGCAAAACACAACGACGTGTCACGTATTAAATCTAATGTCATTTGTGGTGATGCAACAAATATACCTTATTATGATCAACATGATGAACATTAAGAGAAAAAAATCTCTAAATTTCATTATTTTATTGTTCCTGCTTCCAAACTATCAAGGCTTACCACACACTCAATGTCCTTGGAATAGAGGCTTACCACACCCACGCATGATAACTTTGAATATATGCATTAACTTAACGAGTCCAAATAGTGCAAACACTCCGGGAAAAGCAACCATGTATTCATATACATACTTTACAACCACATCACCATTTCACTTCTTTATAGATGAATTCTCTTATTTTTACCATTCATGTTCAAGGTAAAATAATCCAATCATGACGTTTACAACCACACCTGAGCTGATGCAACAACATGACATTATCATGCACTACCTGATGATCATTAAGATGGAAAATGGTCCAGGGTTCATTTTTAAAATGTTCATGTGTCCAAGTAATAAATAACGGCCATCATGTCCTATGGGATAAAAGGGTCAAGACTGCTTTATAAATTTCTGCACATGCATGCTAACATCAAACATATGCATTACCCCAAAAGAGAGATGATCAAATTACCACCCTGCTCCAATTAAGAATAATACAACCATACTAGCATTTTCCAACATCACTAAAATTTATTTCTTTAAACCCGAAATCTTACATTCTTCCCATGCCTGTATAAGTTAAGTAAATGCATTTTCCAAAAGTAACACACTGCACCGGTATAGAATAAAAAAACTTTTATAGTTTCCAAAATTATTAATAGGCAGCACTAAATGACAGCATCCCAAATGTTTCAACATACAAAAACAAACCGTCATTCAAAATTAAAGCGTCACATTTAAACCATATTGCCATAAAAAATTCTAACATAAAACGACCGACACAATAAACGAAATACACTGCAATAAAATTTACTTAAGGCCAACCACGCATTTGTTTCTGACCATCATCATAGCAAAAAAACCAAACATAATAAACCACATAATGTTCATCCCTTCATGAAGTCCTTTGATTTCTTCAAATTCACTTCCTTCATTTCATTCATTTCGGCAACTGATATGCAAGCACAATACTTGGACCTAAGGGTGTTCACTGCCTTCCGGTCTTCCTTGGATAAACCACAGTCCCATCCCTTTAAACCTCGGCCCATGTATGTCTCCATGTGCCGCATTGTCGCCACACCATACTCATAAACAGACGTGACATCCCTCCACGACATCTTCAAACGCGTTGGTTTCCTGGGAACACACCTTCCCAACCTTCCCTTCCAATCCTTGATTGCTAAAATACTTCACAAGCATGTGAAGCTGCAGTATGTATCACAACAGATGGCTGGTAAACATTTATTTAAGAATATAATTCGAAAGCAATCACTACAATTTATTTGGACTTACAACGTTAGTTGGCATTCCTTCATACTTATCATCTGCTTTTGCCGACGACGAGGAAAGGTCCAAAAGTTCAACCTTCATAGCCTTGATGTTCACACAAACACAATAACACCACTTCAACTGCATTATTGGAAAGAAAATCTGCCAAGCACAAAAACCATATATTATGCATTTCTTGATCGTATTCTAAAACACTATGCTATCAAATCAAGGAAGATTAACGAAACCGATAAACAATCACATTACCATATCTGCACTAAATGGGGATGTGCATGTTGGATAGATACATCATGCACTGCATAAAAAACAAACTCCACTTACACAACGCACTAATTCCAACAACAACATCTATACATTCCCGTTAAAAAAATATAAACCATCTAAACAACTATACTATGCATAAAATCATACTGATGTTTCACACATAGTGAATGCACTGATACTTACACATCATGCACATTCTATATCAAACACAGCATCACACTTTCTCTCCATCCACAGTGCGCATAAACATAAAAAAACCAAAGCATCATGCCTCTTTACCAATGCATCACCCCCCTCTAAAATAAATTACAAAAACATCATCTACAATCTGTCAAACACATGGGGCATGACCGATGGAATGTAACAAACACATTACACCAAACATTAACAAACCATGAACTAATAAAAAAACACAGCCCACTAACACCCTCATTCTGCATACACAATCTATTAAATATGGTCATACTTATATTCACAAACATCACTCATAATCAAACATATTGCACTCGCAGACAATGCATCCACACCTCTCGACCTCACGCCCTTATTCGTCAAAAAAAATTCAATTTACCCAATTCCAAACCCTTATTCCTTAAAAAAAACAAATTTTCTCCGAACGGGAATCATTTTATCATATCAACCAACATGAATATGTGATGTCTGGCTAATGACTAGGAAAGGGCTGTAACTTTTTTTTTTTTTTTGGGGGGGGG